TCAAGTTCTAAGTTTAACTTCAAATTCTAAGTTCAAGTTCTAAGTTCAAGTTCTAGTTCAGGTTCAAGTTCTAATTTCAAGTTCAAGTTCTAAGTTTAAGTTCAAGTTCTAAGTTCAAGTTCTAATTTCAAGTTCATATTCATAATTAAGTTCAATTTATAGTAAATTCAAGTTATAATTAATTATAAGTTCTAATTAAGTTGTAATTCAAATCTCTAAAATTTCAAATTCAAACTAGCTAGCTAGTGTCCCAAATTCAAACTATTAATTAGTCCTAAAATATCAAATATAATTCAAACTATTAGTCCTAAATTCCAAATTCAAACTAGCCTTAAAATCACAAATTGAAAGTACTCCTAGAATTCAAAAATCAAACTATAGTGCTAAAATTCCAAATTCAAACTATTAGTAGTCCTAAAATCTCAATAATAACTCAAACTAGTCCTAAATTAAAAATTCAAACAAGTCTTAAAATCACAAATTCAAACTAGTCCTAAAATCCCAAAATCTAACTAGTACTGAAATTCTAAATTCAAACAACTCCTTAAATACCCTTGTTCAATCTAATCTTACAATTCCAAATCAAACTAATTAACTCAAGAAATACCGAATTTCAAACAAATCCTAAGATACCCTAATTCATACTAATCCCAACATTAAAATTTTCTCGGAATATGCAATAATGATGTAACGAGATCAAACAGAACATAAAAGCTCAAATTCTCGAAATATTCATCTCATAATAGCCATAGATGTAATGAAAAGCTAAAAAAAAATTTTAGATTAAAACTTACTAGGACGGATCTATTGAGATCCGTCTTTGAACTCGAATTTCGTCGGAGATGAGAGGAATGGAGATGCGAGGATCTCGCTGGTATGTTGTTGTCGTTGCTGCTGGTGCGCTGCTGTTTCGCCAGTAGCTCGTCGGAGCTGTCTCTCGTGCTGGTTGTTGTTGGCTGGAGATGTTGTTGCTCTCCTCACCGGCTGCTGAAGTTGATTGCTTGGAGCTTGCTGGTTGGAGCGGTTGAGGGAGAGAGAGAGAGAGCAGCGAGCTTTCGCTGATTGGAGAAACGAGAGGGAGGCGGCGATTTGTCTCGCCATTCCCGCTGAAGAGAAGAGACGGGAGGGAGCAAGGAGAGAAGAGATGAGAAGAGGAAAGTGAAGGGAGGAGGGCGACGGGAGGAGCGAGAGGGAGAGCTCACCGGCGATGGTGGAGCTCTCGCCGGTTCTTACTAATGGAGGGGGCTGCGGCGCTGCTAGAGAGAAGAAAAGAATGAGTTTTCAAAAAACGGGTTTGGTCTTTTTTTAAGTCAAAAATAGGAAGGTTAGGTAGATTTAATATAAGCCATTGGATTAGTTAAGATGAGCGGCTAGGATTTGATCTAGGATTCACTTAAGGGATGGACGGTTCGAATTTAAACTAATGTTTCAAGATTTGGACAAAAAGGGTTATAATTGCAATGAATGAATGGCTAAAATTGCAACTAAAATTGATTTAAGAGGCTATAATTGAAAAACGAAATTGGATTGAGGTGGCTAGAATTGTAATGAATTGGATAAGGAAAAAACTAGAATTGAAAGGAATTAGATCAGAATGGGCTAAAGATTAAATGATTTTGAGAAAAATTAAACAAATGCTATCCAATTAAAATACTACAAATATTATAACATTTTATATAATAAACATCACTTAAATTTTAAAACATTTGAATAAAATAATTATTTCGAGTTTTACTTATAATTTTAAAAATATTTTAATAATATTTATGATAATTTTATAAAGCATGCCCACTAAAATATATAATTTTTAGACAAAATCGATTAAAAATTTAAACTTGGAATATTTTTAAAAAAATATGTATTTAACCGAATAGCACTTCCGAAATGGTTATAGGTCGGTATAAATTTAATTTTATTGATCAACAAAAGTTTATCAATATCAAATTTAATATATAAATCTCCTTGAATTGATCATCGGTATTTCTTTAATTGATAATGTATTTAATATCTGAACCACTAGTATGTAAGACTTGATTTATTAAACTACTTGAGGAATATATAATTAATCAACGTATTTCATACTCCGATGAAGTATCCTTTACATGTCATCATAATTAGGAGGTGATCACTACACTTGACATCCATTCAAGATCGAACGTATATAATAATACTATCTCGCATTTCATACTTGAATGGATTATATGTTAGTTCTTCACCTCTACAACATCATGACCTGAGATATTAAGTTCATGATTAGACGACGGATTGATAGAATTTGTACATTACTCTATAAATATAAGTATAATTAACTCCTAATTCATATCAACGTAGTTTCATACTCTAAATATGGATTATAGATTTTTTTTATTTATTCCACGAATTCTAACTTTTTATTTATAAAAGTATGCAAAATTGTTAGACTTTTTGAACAATTAATTGTAGGTGTAAAATGAAAATTTTTAATATTGTGCACAATAGCAAAATTATAATTAATAGGAATATTTTAAACAAACCGACCTCCGGATGTCACTTTTATTAAAAGTAATTAGATATAATAAAAAATACCGACCTCATGAGGTCGGTATCACATTAAATTTTAAGATAAATAAAAAGTAATCATGTTAATTAAATAATATTGACATCGGGAGGTCGGTATTTTATATTAAATTATTTTTTTAACTTATATAAAAACCGTCATTTGGAGGACGATTTATTTAAAGTTAATTGAAAATATTAATTTATTACATACTATTTAATTTTACCGACATCCAGAAGTTGGTATTATAATTTTTTTATTTTACACAAAATCGTCCTCCGGAAGACGATTTAAATAAACTTAAATCAAAATATTTCTCAATTTTGTTTTTTATATGGAGAAATGGGGAAAATCGCGTCTGCTAGTGCAGATATTTTAAAAAATGCGACGGACAACGTCTCTATGTCGGTCGCTTTTTAAAAAAAATGTTTGACCAACATTTTGACCAAAAAGCAACGGACTAAGAGACATTGTCCGCCGCTTTCTTAAAATATTTGACCAGATATTTTGACCAAGAAGAGACGGACATAAAGATGCTGTCCGTCGCTAATTTAAAAAATAATTAAACAATTAAAATTAATAAAAAGCGACGGACTGCGTCGCTATCTATATAAATAATTAATTAGCAAAAATCCGCGAAAAAAGCGACGAACTAAGCGATGCCGTCCCTCGCTTTTAAAAAAAATAAAATAAAATTATTTTAATTAAAAAGCGACGGACAGTGTGTCTAATGGCGTCACTTTTTGGAGCGACGTGGTCCGTCGCTTTTACTTCCGTTGTTTTTTAGCAGTTTTTTAGTAGTGGTAATTGTTGAATAAATGAATGATACTTAATAATTTTCTAATCTATAGAGATAAGAAGATTAAGAGTAACTCAAATAACAAGTTATATTATCATATCTTTACTATTTGGTAACATTGTGAAGATAATTATTTAGTACGTAACATTTCTTTTAAAGATACATAACGAAATTTTACTTTTTCACTTACCATTGGTCTTCATGGTTTTGTCATATGTCTCAAAATTATCACATTTTATTTTGCTATTTGAAAGTAATTTAATTTTTATTCATGATAGAGTGATGTTTTTATTCTAGGCGGAATGACCTGGGAGATCCTTATACTTGCCCGAATTGTCAACTGGACCCTTCTACTCACGATATTGCCAACTGAACACTTAAACTCAATAAAACACAATATTTTAAACCCTTTTGACTTCACGTGCACTTCAAACACATAGTGAAAATGACATGTCATGATCCACACCAGACTTTTAGTGACACATCACTTATTTTTTTACTTTATTTAAAATTTTCATTTTTTTTCTTTTTCACTCAGTTTGTTCCTCACACTAACTTTATCCTTGACCATCTCCCTCCATTTTTTCACCAAAGCCACCATTGCCATCTTACATCCTTATTCTTTACTGGTTATCACTACCTTAAATAACTAAAAAATATCATTGTTCTCCAAGTTTTCATCATTCATAATTTTTCTCCATTTTTTTTTATCAAGGTCTTCATCCACCACTTGAACCATTGTGAAATTGTTTCTTCCATTAATGCCAATGAACCACACTAAAATATCTTAATATGTTCTAATATATACGTATGTTCTACTTAATTTTACAAAGACATAGAATAATCATTCTTCACTCTCCAAAATAATTAGATCTCTATCACCTTAATCCCATGAGTTTCCTTAATCATGTTTGTAATTATCTCAAACTATTGATGTATTTTTATAATTTTGTGTTATTATATTATTATATTATATTATAAATTAAAAATTTAAAGATCCGTAGGACTTACGCACCACGTCTCGAGGCTTACGCCTCACTCTATACTAAGTAAAACGCCTCTCCTTACGCCCTGACTTTTAAAACACTGAATACTACTAATGTCCTGACGGTACCGCATGGGATTATCCATAAGTAATACGTAACACTTATGGAGTACTAAAACTTATTTGAATCAATTGTTTGTAAGCAGTAATTAATAAATAAAGAACCTAGCTTTTTTATTCATAAGCATTAATATTACATAGAGTGGAATAGAAGCATGATCCACATTATTTTAGAAAGCGGTCGAGCTAGGTTATAGTAATAAGCATAGTAAGGCCATAGTTTAGTTTGGCTACAAAAGGTGTGCTTCTGATCACACACATTTCGTAATAGATATATAATTAACTATGCATCAATATTCTTGTTTACTTTGGTGAAGCCAAATGGATAAGGCTTGTTATTGAGAGCCAGACGGGCGTATCCCTTATTTTCGTATAGTCCGACATCTGCACAATCAAATTGGCATGTTGGACACATAAATTGACTAGGACAATACCTTAACTTGTAAGAATGAGGTCTCCCCGTCTCATATTTCTCAATTTTGAACCAGTTCTTTAAGGTATTAGGTCCTGGAATTCCTAAGGTACCACCAGTTATAACAAACCTAGGTGGCGGATGCACCGGCCCTAGCATGTAATCACCAGCTTTCCAAACAGTTTCGTTAACACATAGATTAGAAGTTGTAGTTGAGAACATTATACTAACGTCTTGGTTTTCAAACACATAATGACTTCCAAGTTGCATAGTGAAAAACGTCACGGGCGTGTTGTGATCAAATTCACCAGAACTGTCCTGCACGATGCCGTTTGGGCATTTGGTGTTTCCAAGATCAGCTAAGTATACGCTTCCACCGCCATAGGGAATACTGAGAATGGAGTACTCTTCGTTTATCTTGAGTGGTTCGCCGTCCATGTCGAGCACAGGATTATTATCAGAAGTGAAAGATTGAGAAAAGGAAACCAAAGAGAGGCTACTTGAAACCAAGAGGAAACTCAAAATATTACTAATAGACTTCATCTTTGTTTCTGTATTTTGCTTGCTATTAATTAATCTATATATGTCCAATTTATAGAGCACCACATATATTGCATGGCTTCATTTTCACGTTTTTGTTACATGAATAATACTTATTTTGTCCTTGAATGTCTGAGACATATAATAATAATAAAGTTTTGACAAATAAGGTAAAAGTTCAGTAAAATGTTTGAAGTTTTGCCTTATTAAATTTAGTAAATTTTTTCTAAAGTTATAAGTTTTGGTGAGCCATATCAAATTCAGGCAAAAACGTTTTAGTAATGACCTTCACAAAGCCATACCTTACACAAAATTGTTTTGAAGTCAAGATGCAAATTTTTAATTTCAAACACGTACGCCTAAATTTATTTTAAAAACATATAAATTTCGGGGCCCTTTTCATTGACACACATCTACCACGTGAGTCTTGACAACCTCTGTAAAAATGTTTGAAATCAAATATAAAATTTAAATTTCACTTGTATACGTTTGAAATTCATCTCAAAATGGGTAAGTTTGCAAATACAATGAAAAACCGGACATAAATTTAGCGAAGACATAAAAACAGACCCATATTTACAAAACGTAGCACGGGATTTTCATTTAACAAACATAGCGGGAGTGTTTTTTTTCCTTTTTTTTTTCAAAACGCGTATGAAATTTTTACTCAAAAGCGTAAAACTTTGCTCAATATTTTATGTAAGGTTCATGCTGATTTATGAAAATTCAATATAATTACAATAATATTTTGTATAACTTTCATACAAGATTTATATAAATTTAATACAAGTACTACAATAACTTGCAAACTTTAAAATACAATAATTACACACCTCATCATATAATTATAATACATTTCATACATTTTTCGAACTTGGGTCTGGAGTTCCTTTGTGTATTTGTTTATGATTAGGAGGCGGCTATTGGTATACTATGGTTTAGGTTTTAAATTATAAAAACTTTGTTCCATATTAGTTGTTTATTTTATTTTTTAAAAATAATTTACCCTCTTATTATTTTAATTTTTTGAAAAAAAATTTATGTTTACATTTTTTTTAGAAAAATAATCGTAAGGTTAAAATGAGGGGAAAAAAGATTAATTCTCTTTTGATATTATAAATTGACAAAAAAATTGAGATAATTATTTTTATAATATGATCAACTAATATTGAATGAAGGACCAACATGGATTGTGATACAGTGTTGGGACCGGTCCACCATTAATCATAGGTCTCGAGTTTAAGCCCTAGATATGAAAAAAAAATTGTTGAGAGTACTACCACCAATAAATTTTGCAGTGCATGATCTAGATTTAATCCCAAATTTTCCATTCTTATCATCAACTCTAGTTGCAGTTGCACTGTTGCAGGCCAATAATGGATATATTTTAATGTGCCGACGGGACCATTAGAGACTAGCCATATCTAAATCGTGTTAATAAAATAGGATGATTAGTTGAACATTTAATATATAGTAGTAGTAGGGTTAATGTACGACATCTCCTAGAATTTGGAGTAAAATTTAATTTAGACTTATTATAATTGAACATATATATGAACAAGTGATAAAGTGTTAAATCCTATGATATACTATCGGTCCAAATTTAGAGAAATTTATGCATATTTCCAATTAGTGTTTATTACAGAAACAAGTTTTTAATAAGCCTCAATAAAACTTCAAATTTGTTTAATTTGTTCCCCTAGAAACTCATGAATATAATTAAAAGGAGGTGACATATTTCATGCGATTAATTAAAAATACGGCGATGGAAAATGTTATAATAATCTGGCGCGGAAACTAGGGCTGGGCGTTCGGTCTTGTTCGGTTTATCGATTTTCGATTTGGTAAAAGTGTTAACCGAATGTAACAACCCAGAAATTTTTTTTGAGCTAAGACTTGAACCATCCTTCGTTGTGAGTAGAATTTTACCGAGGAATTAAAATTTTCTTGATGTAACACCTCGCAACTAGAAAGAAGTTTAAAATCTGGAAATAGTCATTTTTGAAAAGTATAAGGAAATCTGGAAAATTTTAAGTTAAAGTGAGTTTTGGTCAACTTCAACTGACCATAACTCCTAGCTCAGGATGAGTTAGGTGTAGTTCTAGATATGGTTGGAAATCTCTTGGAATGATCTTTCCAACGCCTCCAAGTTTGCGTGATTCTGAGTTCGGATGAGTGAGTTATACCCTTTGGAAGTTGGGCTATTGGTTTAAGGAAAGTCCAAATCCGGATTTTTGAAGGGTAGTTTGGTCTTTTCCTTACCCTTTTATTTTAATTTGTTTTAGTCAATTAATTAAGGGTCTAAACTGAACTGGGTCAGTTTTACGCTTTTGGAAAAGAGTTAGGGTTTTAGAGAAGAGGAGAAAAGAGAAGGAGAAGCAAGGAAATCGTCAAGATCGTCGAGTTTAGCTTGTGGATTTCGTCGGGGGTGATCCCTAAAAGGTATGCGAGATCACATAGCATTGGGTTAGTTCACCCACGCGCCAAGCATGTTTAATTCAGCGTGTTTTCGTCCTAAAATGAATGAGAAATTGATGTTCTTGATAGTTGTTCTTGGATTGATTTCGTTCTTGAATATGAGTTGGGATTTAGGAGTTTCTTGATGATTAAGTATTGTTTCCCTGAATTGTTTGAGTTAGATTTTGTGTATATGATTTGGGTACATGAATCTAAAGTGAATTTGGGGGAAAAAAACGGATTAAAGCGATTTAGGGTCAGAAAACACGATCAAAAGTTCATCTGAATTTTACCTGAAGGGAGGCTGGCGCGATGCACCCCTATAGTGCCAGGAAAGCTGGGGCGGCGCGCCAGCAGTGTGCCCGAAATGAGTCCCAGTAAAACGGGGCCTGGCGCGACACGCCAGGTACGCCCTCGGATGGGCGTTTTTCACCAGTTTTCGTCGTTTAGCCTATTTAAGTTATTCTAAAGTGTCCTTACACTTTCCATTGATTCTAACTACTTTAAATGACTTCTAAACACCTAGAAATCATCCATAAACATGAATCATAACCTTGAATCCATAAATTCAAATTCAAGGGAAGTCAAGAGCCAAGTCTAGGAAGTTCTCGGAGTTTTTTTCAAGAAGTCTTTTGCAAATGCTTTTTAACTTTGTTTTAAGACTTAAGTTTTGAAGTTGAGTAAAGAGTAAGAGCAAAGTTCATTTTCTTTAAAATGATATATGGGAACTAAGTATTTCCAAGAGTAAATGTTTTCACATTTAAGATGAGAGGAAACTGAGATTTCCAAAAGAGTTTTGAACAACAAAAGGGAACATTGATTCCAAAAGAGCTTTTGAAGCTAAGTTTGAGCAATTATCTCAAACCAGAGAAGAAGTTGTTTTAAAAACATATGAGCTAAGTATATTTTGAGAGTAGTATTGAGCACCGATATGGAGACGCGAGTTCATATTAACTCAAGCCCCCATAAACCATGTATCCATCATAGGCAGAAAAAGGATCATACTTTTTAAATGATTCCTTAGTGCTTTTTAGCATAGACTAGTGGATCCACTTAGTAGTTCAGGTTCTATGCCTATGGCAAGGTATAGGACGGTCCTTGGCATCGTAAGGTAAAATGTTGTACCATCACTTAGGCTCATAGTGATGGTTGTCGGTTAGAGAAACTCCCATAGAAGTCATTATATTTTTATATACATCAATTTATTGTATTTTTACATACATTTCAGAGTTATGTTGTATCCTTTTATATATACAGAGTTGACATCATGTTTTAAACAACTTTTCTTTATATTGCACTTGTTTTAAATCTGCTTTATATTGAAATGAGTTCAGTTATGTATTCATGAGTTGAGAAAGAGCCAAGGTAAGTGTTTCTTTTAGATTCCCTTTCAAGCCTATGTTGTTTTAGCATTCCAACTCGCATACTCATACATTCAATGTACTGAAGCCAGTTGGCCTGCATCTTATTATGATACAGACACAGGTAACTAGGGTCGGCATCCGGCACATCGTTGATCCAGTGAGAAGTTTAGAGTCTGTTAGTGAGCCTCTTTGCATTCCAGAAGACTCTTTTTCATTACTTTCAGTTTTAATATTAGTTCATTAGGATGTCGTGGACCTGTCCCGATATCCATCTCAGTTGTTTTGAGGCTTCATAGACAGACAGACAGTCAGTTAGTTAATTCAGTTGTCTTTACTTTTCATATGTTAAAGACTTGAGTTTGCCTTAAAGGCTAGTTGAATGTTCCGTTATAACATTCTAGTTATTTCATAAATGTGTATGTGATGAGTTAAGTCTTCCGTTGAGTTAGTAAGTCAGGCCAAGGGTTCGGCTTGAGGCCAGCAATGCTCTTCGAGTGCCAGTCCCTCCCAGGGTGTAGGCTCGGGGTGTGACACTTGAGTATTGAGTTCCTAATCCCTTCTGAGATTATGTTCCTAATCAAGAAACTATTACATGTTACCCATGAAGTCCTTAAGTTGAGTTGTTCATGCCCATAATTCTGCATGAACCTTATGAGTTGAGCATTCTTGAAGTGAGTAGTATCATTGACTCCTTGAGTTTTGGAGTTGTTGAGTTCCAAGTATTGAGTTCTATGCATGGTTATTGAAAACCTTGAATTGAGTCGTTCACGTCCATAATTCGGCATGAACCCTATTTTAAGAAGTCTTTTTACAAATTGTTTTAAAACTTGTTTTAAAGACTTGAGCACTAAGTTGAGAAAGAGTAGAGTTGAGTTCATTTTCTTTAAAATGATATATGGGAACTAAATATTCCAAAGAGTTAATGTTTTTACATTGAAGATGAAAATTGAGATTTCCAAATGAGTTTTGAGCAGTTTGAGTACTATCTCTTTTAAGAAAAAGATGAGTTTTGAGAAAGAGTTTCTAAAACATGATTAGTATGACAATCGAGTATGTCATCAATGTTTAAGCAGTATGGTATCTAGATATACCATCAATGTTTATGCAATATGACTTCCCTAGTCATCAATGATCATATTAAAATATGGTTTTGATATGTTTTTGAGAAAGAGTTTTCTAGAGTAGTT